CCCCCCCCCCCCCCCCCCCCGCTTGTAGTAGGTGGGAGCATTCTCCTTGTTGAGTGACTCATAGGCTTCGAACTCCATCCCTGCATCGTTCTTCGGGGCCTCCAGGGTTTCGCAGGAAAGGCTGTGTGTAGATGGCACTTTTCGGGGTCCGAAGTAGGGTTCAATGCGGGGATTCGGGCTTAGGGGAGGGTTCAGGGTGTCGGGCTTGTAAGGTTTAGGGTCCTAAACCCTACACCCTAAACCCTAAACCTGCAGGGTTTGGGGTCCTCGCCATGGCGGCATTTGTAGGAGTAGACGACGAGGCTCTGGTTGGCACCACTGAAGGCCCGGTTCACGAAGCGATGCAGGTGCCTCAGCTTATGGCTTAGAGGCTACAGGGGTCTTTTCCCTAAGCCCTAAACCCTACACCCTAAATCCTAAATCCTAAACCCTATACCTTCTGCAAGGCTACGGCAAAGAAAGGCTACTATGAGGGTTCTCATATAGGAGCCTGAATATGCAAAATAGGGCTTGGGAGGGTAGAATATGCTCTGATTTCGATAAGGGAGCCTTCCGTAATCTTGCTTCTTTTTTGTTTTTTTTTTGGAGGGGGGGGTGGGGGGGCTTCTCGTAGGGTTGAGACATCAGAGGCCTCTGGGTTGAGAGTGTGGGGTCACCGGGGGTTCAGCTCAGGTAACGGTTTAAAACTTAGGATTTCGGGTTCAGGGTTTAGGGTTTAGGGTTTAGGGTTTAGGGTTTAGGGTTTAGGGTTTAGGGTGATGAGATGAAGTTCCTGTTCGTGCCTATAGCCATTCCCACCACCGCCTCTCACCTCAGTACTGGATAAATTCAAGACAAGGTAGTTCTTCTCTCTACATTGTCTTTTCAAGCCCTCACTGTTCGGAACATCAAGTTTTTTCCCGCCCAAGTCAACACCCTCGCGTACGCTCGAAGAGAAAAAGCCGCTGCTAATGAAGATGCAGCTGCAGTCCCCGGGGATACGCATCGCCGAGGTCGCAACACAGGAACCTTTCGTTCTTTGAAGCAAAAAGGGTTTTAGGGTTCAGGGCTTTGGGTTTAGGGTTTTAGGGCTTATTAGGGTTTAGGTTTTCGGGTTTAGGGCTTAGGGTTTACGAGGGTGTCGGGTTTACATTGCTTTTGCTGGTTCCACGTTCACGCAACTTCAGGCTCAAGGATTCGGGCTTGCTGCTGGCTTTGTGAAACCCTAAACCCTAAACCGTTGGCTTTGTTTTTGGTAGTAGTATTTTGGCTTCTGTTTAGAGTCCAGAGTTTGGTGGGACGGTGGGACTCGCTGAAAGGTCAAGGCTGGGCAAGTTTGTGGTTGTGGGGTTAGGGGCTAAAAAGCCTAGGTTACCGACCCCAAAAGGAACCCTTACAGGAGCCTTATAGATCCCATATTCTGATCTCTTGAACGGAACACGTGATTATTATTGAAACCCCCCTAAACCCCAAACCCAAAACCCTAAAACCCTAAACCCTGCAGCCCGAGAGCTCAGGGTATCCATGCCGATCCATGCTGGTGGTTACTACCGAGTCCAGAGAGTGGCTTGTGGTCCGCGCAGGTGGCTGCTGAACCTGCAGGGATATTGGGACATAAGGGTTTAGGGCTTGGGGTTTAGGGGTCTAGGGATCTTAGGGTTGAAGGTTATGTAGGGACATTCGCGTTTAGGGCTCAGGGCTAGGGAATATGGGGATACTAAGGATTTGTGAAACGTAAGGCTTAGAGGATGCCGGGATACTATAGAGTTTAAGGTTCAGGGTTTAGGGGATATAGGCATGTTGGATATTTGGGTGTAGAGCTTCAGGCTTTACGGGCTCAGGGTTAATGTAGGAACTTGATTAAGACATGTCACCCCAACATATTAGGATTCATGTAGAGAACCCTAATAAAGACCGAAGGTGTCTTAATCAGGTTCCTACATTCGGTCTTTTCGGGAGATTTCCCTAAACCCTAAACCCTAAACCCTAAACCCTTAACCCTAAACCGTTGCGTCGAAAGGTTGCTTTAGGCTTTAGGGCCACGGCCTTCAGTAGGGGCTTCGGGGTCAGCTTTGGGTATACCCATAGGCCGCATAGTAGTTCCTTTTTGGGATTACCTAATCGGATCCTAAATCTAACACAAAAAGATGATATATGTGTACCCATAGGCCGCATAGTTGTTCCTTTTTGGGATTACCTAATAGGATCCTAAATATAAGCCACAAAAAGGAACTACTATTGGGCCTATGGGTAGGGTTTAAAGGGTAGCACGCTTTTCAGTACCTGTATATCTCCGTTGCGGTCTTCTTTGGCTGCCTTGTCCTCCATCATAGCATCCGAGCTATAACATTCCCACAACTATGATCCCAAAGGGTCCAAAGTACCTATATAGTAGAATGTAGGGTTTCTATTTTAGGAATTACTATTATGATTTGGGGAAGTATCCCCCATAACAGTACCTAGGACCCTTTGGGGATGGAGGCTAACAAGGAAAACCTAACATTTAAATCTAGGCAATCGGAGCACTACCTTAATCCTAACCTGGCTGACTTCTGAACCCCTCCAAAAAGTTAAACTTTTAGTCTCCTTATTGTAGTTATATAGAAACTCAAAAAGTTAAAGTCCTAAGAGCCAACCAGAAGAACACCAAGCTAAACCTACCTTCTTGTGGCTCCTTATTATCATGATTACCTTGTACAAACGCAGTTATTTGGGGTGAATGTAACTCCTAAAACTCTATGTGGTGATTTCCCAGGCATTACCTGAAAGGTATCTACCCTAAAGCCAACACCCCTAAACCCAGAGCCCTAAACCCGAAAACCCTAAAACCCGTAACCCCTTAACCCCAGAACCCTCAACCCTAAACCCCTAATCCCTAAACCCCAAAAACCCCTAAACCCAAACTCCGTAACCCCCCGTAACCCCTAAACCCCCAAACCCCAGGCCCAGCCTGCAAGGTATCTGCGCTCAACGTAAACCAGATGCCAGCTTGGTGGTTAAGTCCGTCTTCCTTGCTTTGGGTTTTAGGGTTTAGGGTTTAGGGTTTAGTATCCATGTTGTATACTGCGGGCAAACAACGTAGGTACATGGAGATATTGAAAAATAATTTGCCTAAGGATTCCTGACTTAATGCATGATGTGTCGGTTCGCAACCTGTCGGTTGGTACTGCGGATTCTTCTAGAGGATACGACAAGCATCGGACTTGTGCATGAAGCGCCCCAGGTGGACACCCAACAGGCCTTAGAGGTCGAGTTCCTCGCCCAAAAAATACAAATATATACACGTTCATGTAAAAAGTTTCAAAAGCTGACCTATGTATATTGGAAAAGTTCGGGGTTTAGGGTTTGGTGCTAGGGTTTGGGTTTAAGGTTTAGTGTGAAACCACTGCCAAGAATCCGCCTGCATAAGCGACCGACAGTTGAGCACCGTAGGGTGGCGGCTGAGGAGCGGCCAGGCCATCGTAGTGACCAAAGCAGACCTCAACGTGATTTGTCTCGGGTTCCGACAAGCCCCTCTGACCCAGAAAAACCATGGCATGATGTTTTTCAAAATTTCCAAAACCCTGGAGGTATATGACATACTACACAAGGCGAATGGCTCACAAGGAACACCCAGGGCAAAATGTAGACTCAGATAAGGTCGAGGGTGCGACGACAAAGCACTGCGAGTCTGATGAACAAACCATTCAAGTTGAAATCCTCCTTGTATATGGGGGTTTCCGAAAATACGGGGTGCCTTATTTGGGGGATCCTTATAATGAGAATCCTACTATTTAGGGTACTATATTAGGCTCCCCTATTTTCGGAAACCCCCATATAGGTTCTCCCGCGACCCCTTTTGAAAACTGTAAACATCCTTCTTGTATATAAGTTCCTCCTGCCTTCATAATTCAAACGACATTCCCTTTCAGGGTCCTTTGTTAAAAGGGTGCCATGCCACTCTGGTGATCTGAAAAGTGGCCCTAATTTAATCCCTAATTCAGGGAACTACCCATACCCAAAGGGTCCAAGTATTAGTATGGTAGCTACTTTGTAGGTATTTGGGCCCCAAAAGTATATACCATACTATAACTTGGACCCTTTGGGATAGACAGCTCGGAAAAGTGTTGCTTTAGAAAAGCCCGCGCGGCCATGTCCAAGCCGTCCTTCCCACCATCCAAGACCTGCAAGCTGATTCTACATTCAAGTATGGTTCCCCCAGTCTTATATATTACACACATAGATACATAGACAGATAGAAAGATAGATAGATAGACAAATAGATAGATAGATAGATAGATGGATAGATGGATGGATGGATGGATGGATGGATGGATGGATGGATGGATGGATACATGGATGGACAGATGGATAGATAGATGGGTTGATAGGTGGATAGATAGATAGATCGGCCGATAGATAGATAGATAGATAGATAGATAGATAGATTAGATAGTGCTGGTCAGGCTCTATAAGGCTTAGGATGGTTTAGGGTTTGCCTAAACCCTAAACCCTAAACCCTAGACCTACTCGATCAAGGATTTCGAGGCTTCGAGGGTTGGGTGGTCGAGGTTTCGGAGCACTAGGCTTCAGCTTCGGAACGGCTGGTAGTAAACGGCTTAGGGTTTAGGGGGTTTAGGGTTTAGGGTTTCGGGTTTAGGGTTTAGGGTCACTGGTAGCGCGATCCTTCGGGGCTGAACCTGTGCTGTGCGAGGCAGCAGAGTTGAAGAGGTGACTGTTACATGGGTAATTCCCTAAATTAGGGTCCCTTTTGATTTCCCCAAAATAGTACGGCACCCTTATAAAAAGGACCCGAAAAGAGAACCTAATTTAGAGAACTACCCATATTGTAACAAGATCTACGGTTTGGGTACATGCAGGTCATGTGATGCGCTGGGTGGTGAAAGGCGAAATCAAACTTCTGATGTCTAGTAAACTGTAAGTCCCCAAACCTTCAGATCCTAACCCCCGGAAACTCTCACAGCCCATAAACCCTAAAATCAACTAAAACCCTGCAAACTGTAGGTTCCCAAACCCTCGGACCCTAACATCGGAAACTCTTAGACGCCATAAACCCTAAATCAAATGGGTAGTTGTCTGAATAAGGGTCCCTTTTTAGGTCCTTTTTATAAGGGTGCCGTACTATGTTGGGGACCGAAAAAAGGGACCTAAAACCTAAACCCTAAACCCACTACTCTAAACCCACTACCCACATGACTCAGATCAGAACTACCCATTTGACGACGCCCCACCTGGCGCTTCAACTCCGAGCCATCCATGGCAGCTTTGATCACCTGGGTGGGGTCTATGGATCAAAAGCTAGGGTTTAGGGTTTAGGGTTTAGGGGTTTAGGGTTTAGGGGTTTAGGGTTTTAGGGTTTAGGGTGAGATCTAGAAAAGAGGCCTTTAGGGTTAGGACGATTAGGGGATGTGGTGCAGTATGATTCCTATAAATCTATAAACAAGGCTTATGAAGCAACATGAAGCAACCGAGGGGTAAAACGGTTCAGGCTTGGGGGATATGTTTCCACTGCGATCCCCGAAAAAAAGCTAGCTTGAGCGGCTCAAGAAACAGAAAAGGACAGTAATTCCTGAACCCCCGAAAACCTGAAATCCAAAGGCCCCAAGCCCTGAAGCCCAAAGCCCTGGACCGTCACTGCCCTAGATCCTACACCCCGCAGCACATGCCCTTTGCTGTCGGCCGAGTCCCGCACATGTCGGAGGGAAGTGGTGGAGGGCGGGGGCGGGGTGGGGGGATGCTCCAAATATCTCATGGACCTGATTTGCAGGAAGACCTGCGTTTCCATCTAGGTCCGCCGATGTCCGCGGGCCGAACCATAAGATGAAATCTGAGAACGGCAGCTGGCCCGCTTGGCCATAAACAACCATCGATTTTTGTGGTGCTGGGCTTCAAGCAAAACGATGATTTGAACATATTATGTTCTTCCGGTCTCCCAGGAATTTCTCCGACATATACAACTGTTGATTTAAACATTGTGGTTCTGAAAAGCAAACTCTTACAATGTAGGCCAGTTGCTTCTAAACCCCAAGCCTCCAAACCCGAAACCCTCAACCCCAAACCCTAAACCCTATAAACCCTAAACCCTAAACCCTAAACCCTAAACCCTAAACCCCCAAACCCAAGAAAATGAGCTCCAGGGCCCAGTCGCCGTGAGGCAGCGGTCTTCTTCAGGCCTGCCATCTCCCCACTGAACCATCAGAAGGAACCTCAGATCTTGAGTCATGTCATGGGTTTAGGGTTTAGGGT